TGCAAGAAGTTGGAACTCTCTCCAGTGTTCGCGCATGAGGCTGCGGGCAAGGGGTGCGACAACGGCTTGTGCTGGCGACCAGCCGCACCATCCACGCAGTCATCCGCGCCTGCATCATGATCAGCATCATGATGCGCGCCGCCAGCAGAGCCCGTGCTCGGCAGCATGCCGCTCACCTCCTTGCATCAACGACTGACCGCTGCTGTGGTGGCCAACGGTGGAAGCCACGCTATGCAATGCCTCCCTCTAGAGGCTACGTGTCGATAAGGTAGCACGGCCGCCCTGTCCGTCCTTCACAGCACGCGCACCTCGTGCGCGGCGTGCGGAGAAATGTAGCTAGCTACAGCGCCGGGGTTTCCCCACCCCAGGAGAGCTTTGTGAATAGAACCAAAAAGAGGTTCACCGAGGGAGCGCGCGCACGCGCATCTCCAACCAATGAGGAGACAGTAAATTTAGAAGTAAAGATCCCTTCGCACGGATGGTAAAATGTACTGGTGAAGCAAGTGAAGCGGTTGGCCTGCAACTGGCGGGTTCTACCTGAAAACCAAAACGCCTGAACACCTACATACCTCATGTGAGAGTGAAACCGCCAACCCGCCAATTTATCCATTCGTGTGTACCCGTTGCGTCGTCGTCGCGAAGAGTCGAGTTCTTCTCATCGTCCTCTCATCCTCTCGGTCGCCTACTTCACTTTCCGAGCAATGGAAAGACGAGAGCCGCTTCCACTTCTTCAAAGGCCGTGCCGCCCATAGTGATACCAGGATTACACTGCAGGTGTAAGTGGAGCAGCAGCAGTATTTTCTGCTGTTTTTCCAGCTTATTATCCGGGACAACACCCGGCGACCACATTCGGAGCGATTATTCCGCCGGACAGATTTCCGATTTCACGTGGCCGATTTGTACCCTTGTTGCCATTTGTGTGGCATCATACGCCCACTTTCGAAATACACTGCTGAATCGTACGCTGTGTACGTTCAAAGCAGCGGACCCATACTCGGAGTATTGTCCAACGGCTTCCACCACCTCTTCTACACACGCCCACACAGCAGGCCGCTCAAGGTTCTGGCGTTCCAGGGCGTGGTGTCTCACGCGACGGGTAACGCAGCCATCAGGAACATGTACAGGGCACATCCTTGTCGCGTCTGCAAGTTTTTTTAGTGGTCGGCTACCTCAGCAGCTTCAAAGAGGAATCAGGACCGACTGGTCGATCTCAAATCCTGTCAGAGTCAGGGACCGACGAGGTGGCGGGGAAAGACAGCCACGACAAGGGGCGGGGCGTTGGAGGGGGGCCGCTCTGCCGGCGCTGGTGGTCTCGGGCGTAGCAGCATAAAGAGAGGACTGCGAGGGCCGCCGAGAAGCTACTATCCGAAACGCATGGCAGTCTGAAGAATGAGAGCGAAACGGCCCAATTTCACAGCTACACGCAACAATAATAGCAAGGCTTAGAGAAAAGGGAAGAGCACAGTTAGCGCCCGCACTATAAAGAACTTGGCAGTCACGGAATTGAGCTTGGAAAAGCTGAAAATAAGAACTTGAGCATTATGTATTTGCGAGACAGGGGATGAGACCAAGACGTACCTGGTACGTTTTTTTTTTTGGTAGTGTATAGCTGCCAACGTATCTTAACCGTAGGAACTACTACTGAAGAACAGCGCCAAAACTAGAGGTTCCTATTGCGGGCGGCAACTGTACTACATGTAGCAAGCTATATAGCAAGGCGCCGCCACCCAAAAAACACGACTACTGCTGTAGCTCGGAAACCGCCTTGAGAGAGGAGACCGATGAAGAGAAGGTGCACGCCTGGCACCTACACAACGCAAAGGGTATTTCATTCCGTTTTGACGCTCGTCCATAAAAACGCCGAGATGTCCCTCCGCGTAGCTGCCGAGCGGAGGCCACGAGGTGGACGATGAATGAACAGACATCTTTGTCAGCAATTTCCGCAGGCTGTGTGCCTGCCTGCTTTGGTTCCGGGGTTCGCCGGTGCCGCGTGACCCACGGCCTCCCTCCTGAGGTGTCATTCGTTGTCTTCGCGTGAGCGGTCTGAGGAGAACAGATCTCGAAAACGCCTCCGCTACAATAGGTAGATTGCGGTTCCGTTTGGCAGAGGCTAGGAGGCCCTCTAAAGAGAGAGAAGGTCTGCACGACCCTACTACCAAAATAACGAAGAACAAAACGAAGAATAAAAAACAAGACAAAACCTTGGTTTCACATGGCTTAAGCGCGCTGGAGGTACGCCCCTCACGGTAAAAAAGCATAGGTCGAATCTTGGCAACCTTTTCTACAGGCCTATGCTCTCATCCAGTACCTCGGTACTCCCGCACACCACGGATTGATTCCTTCCGGGGTTCACAAGCAAGATGCCAGCACAAGGCACACGACGAGAAACAAAAAAAACAGTCAGAAAGACATGTACGGCACTCCAAACTTGTTAGGCCGAGAATTCCTCCGAGCCGAACATTTTCTCCACAGTCCGAGCGTACCTGACGAGACAGCCGAAACAGGGGGGAGTCGACAACGAACGATGTCAAAATGGATACCAGTATAGCGACGTGGAATTTGCTCATCACAACGGTGCCTTTACCTGCCTATTCTGACACAAATTATCTCTTGTGGCTTATGGCTACCATCAGAGATGATTTGTGTCAGACTAGGCAGGTAGGTCACCGTTGTGATGAGCAAATTCCACGCCGCTATTGCGTTAACCTTCTGCTCGCCATAGTCCAACCATGCCTACTCCTTGTTTTCCAATATGTATGCCCTTGTAATCTATCATGACCTCATACGTACGTATCAATTTTAGGCCGACGACACGTGAAAGCCAGCGTGCGTCCTGTTCAGAATTACGAGAAAACGAAGAAAAACCGTCCGGTATCAATGTTCGGTCACCATGATCGGCATCCGAATCGTTCCATGTACCCAGGGCTCAAAGCCGGCAGATTACAGCTTCAGTCTATCCTGCGACTAGTCGCTGCGCACCATCGAAGGAAATCATCCACCATGCATACCCTTCTGCATATCTACCGGCCGCCTCTCGGTAACCTGTAACATTAGTGCCAGCTATGTAGCTGCTGCTTGCCAAGCCAAGGCGGCCGCTGTGTAGAGACTGCACATGCGACAAGGAAACAAGCGTCATAAACAATGAAAATACAAAGAGGGGGGGAGGGGGGCTTGCTCTCACTTTCCCAGGGCCCAGATGGGGTAGACGTTTCTGTACGAGGTGTAGGTGATGCCGGTGCTGCGATTGAACACGCCCGTGATGCCCTCTTGCTCCCAGTCCCCTCTAGGCAGCTGCATCTTCCTGCCAGGGGGAGGAACAGACGCGCGAAGCAGCCTTGAATCTGAGTCTAGTGGACTTGCAGCAGTGCATGGACACGGCTCTACTGGAACGCCATCCGAAGTAGGCACGAAAAAAGATGGCAGCGCAGGAAAAAGATGGCGATGACTGACCGGGGTAAGACAAGGAGCGCCACTCACACTTCACGAGTCCGAAGAAAACAACTGGGAAGAAGCAGGCTACGACCGTATGTCACGGGGATGGCCAGATCACACATGGACGGCATCGCCCAAATAAAAACCAACGAACTCAACAACAGCGCTCCCGCAGCAACAATCACAACGCGACCCCAACTAGCAACCAACAACCAACAAGAGCGGTAACCAACAAGAAAGCTACCAAAAGCAGCGGCAACAGCACCAGACTACGGAGCGGAGTGGTTGGCTTGTTACCGAAGGAAGAGAGAGCCTTTCCACAGGGCTAGCCTGACGTCCTCCCTGTCCTCCCACTGCTCAGACGCGATCAGCGTTAGCATGGCCCATCCCGTGTGGACCACCTTTTCGGTTACCGGAGGTTAGTCCCGACAAAAAAAGAAAAAAAAAGCACATGTACAAACGTTTTCATTGGTCAGCCGGTTAGCGCGGTCGATGCTCAATGAAAATACACAGATGTGACGATCACAAGCCGTCCTGCCCGATATCCATGAAGTAAAAAAAAATATCTTGGAAACCAATCCCATGGTGGACACAAGTCCTTCCCATGAGAAACAAAACAAGGGGGGAAAGTAACCCATCATCCACTAATAAGAGCATTTTGCCGGAGCTCGGGTTGATGCAGAAAGCAAACAAGGATCCGAGAGAATACACGGTTTCCCGCTAATTAAGGGGATATCCTACCTAGGCAGTTTTATGTTGATGCCACCATGTTGACCTCATTGCCGAAGAAGGCAAACTCCGCTTGGTCGGGTAACAAAAAAAAGCTTAACCATAAAACCAATGTTTTCGCAAGGACTCCACCAACAGATACCGGGAAAATCATGTATTACAGTATTCACGTTTCAAGAGGAAGAAATAGCGTCGTTCAACCTTTTCGGCCACGCAAGTGGGATTCCGAGTAGCAAAACGGCGTTTCTTTCAGCCGTTTCAGCTCCCAGCAACCGAAAGGGATGACTGTAAGAAACAGCAGATCTCGAACGAGCCCCCCCCCGGCCGCCAACAACAGATGATACTCTTCCGGACGTCCAAGCCGGTGGCTCACCCCGCTCCCCCCGTTTCCCAGCGCGGACACCTCTTCCTGCAGAGACTGCACTCCCGTCTCCGTCCACCCCTTGTCCACGCTGGCGAGGTACGATTCGCCCCACCCGCCATTTGCATTCTGACGGCTGCACCGAGAAAAAAAAACACGCAACACACAAGAGCCAAAGCGGGGGGTACAACAGCAGAGGCGTGGGTGCTCTATGGGGCGGGTGGCCGGCAGGTGAATGGTCTTGGGGTAAATATGGATACCGTACAGTAGTAGAAAAATCATCGAAAGCTGTGGATGGTTTCTTCCCTCTCTCTCGTGTTTATTCCCAACTAAAATATGCCACCTCTGGATTGTCAACTGTGCAATCCAGGGAGATTGAGTCCGCAGTCGAAAGTCACGGTATACTGTATGTGTATCGTCCAATTTCTGGATTCTGTACTCAGTGCATGTATCATAGCAACGATACGTAATCAATATGAGGGCGGGGGAGTCGGCCTGGCAGGTATCCGCCCCATAGAATGCCCAGGAATGATGTAACAAGAAAGAGGGACCGGTTTGTATCGTGTGTATCTCTGGACGTTGGTTGCGTGAAAGCGGCGACGCACGGGGCAATAACCGCGACAAGTATTGCGCATCAACGGAGACGCTGGTTGCGTGTGCTGATCAAGAAAGCGACGACAGGCGGGCAGATTTAGCACGGGTCAGCGAGACCATAGCCGTAGCAAGGGATGCCATTAACCAATGGCGTTTGTGTTTGTTCTTGTGACGACTCGCTCTCTTCTGTTTTGTGAAATAGGCGTGGGACCTTATCAGGGTCGTGAAGCCGGCGACTACGGACAGCGTTCGCGTTAGATGGACCAGTACGGACGACAGAACGTACTGGACAGACATCGGAGCACTTTGTAGTGGGGGGACAACAACACGAACTACCACGTTTTTGGATATCGAGAGGGGCCGACGCCTTGGGCGCGAGGAGGGAGTGGATCATGTCTGCACACAACATCAATATCAAAAAAAAAAAAACGAGAATCAAATGACAAGGCTTAATTGTTTTCGGGACGACCGTAGACGAGAGATGCTGGCTGAGGGCTATGTCACAGATTAAGGTGAAAACGCAAAAGACGGCAAAAAATACACCTACGGTTGCAAATAGGTCGATCGTTACATAGGTGTGCTGCTGTAGTTCCGGTTTCTGATAACACAGATGCAAAAAATTGCGTGTCTTGTTGACCATGATGAAGAACCGCCTTTCTTCACCAAACGGACCCACACAGTCCTACGTAATATGGAGGCATGTTGCTGGGTGTGGAGGTCAGAATGGGGGTTCTGGTCAAGAAACAACGCCGACGACAAGCGGCGACAACAACGACACCCAAATTCCTGCCCCTTTACGCGTTCCATGGCCCCCCTGTTTGGACTCTCATTCGGAGGGAGGATTTCTTGTTCTATTGCACTCCCCATCAACAGGTACAGGTAAAAAGCTGAATATACTCTCACACGCTGCTCTTGGCTCCCCAAGAACAACTCGCATGTAGTCCTCAACTGCAAGCATAATAAATAATAGCACGGGGTTGTTGACGAGAATGCCTTCTGCTGCAGGCTCTCACGACTACCATGCGGTTGGTCACCACCACGCAACTGTACCCCAGTGTACCGTCCGCACGAGAGTCGTAGCACACGAGGAGTGGCTGCGGCCGTGGCACCCACGTCGGATCGAGCACTGACCTCAACATGAAGTCGACGGCCTTGGTGATGGTCGGGCTCTCTACCGGCTCGCCTGCCGACATGAGCCCCTCCACTCCGAACCAGGTAGCTGAGCGCGGCCATCAAAGACGCAGCAACAACAAAAGGCGTTTGTTACAACCAGCTTGTCTTGCCTCCGCTACCGTCACCGCCGCCACAAACATCACCAACCCTAGCACACCGCAAACCCTGCCAAACACTATCGGAGGGTGTGCTATCGCTAAAAATCCTCTTTCGGTTCGGTATCCGGTTATGGCATTGTGACTGCTGTGAATAACGCAAACGGAGGTGCACCCCCCTAGATCGTCTTTTCGATGCGGTATATGTCCTGTTACTTGTGACTGTGACTAACACCAACGGCCCCGAGGAACCTCTTTTCCGTTCGGTATCCCGTGACAGCATTGTGAATAACACTAACGGACCCCCCCCCCTACATCCTCTTTCGGTTGGGTATCCTGTAGTAGCATTTTGACTGCTGGCGACCCCCACAGCGTGATTGGCCCGGCCCTTCCGGGCAGCGTGCCATGCCGTACCGAATAGACCGATAGGCGCAAGCCAATCGCCCTGGTACGATAGCGGGAATTCGGAACGTGTTCATGAAAACATAGATACATGCAGCAACACAGAAAATACTACAATAAATTACCCGTTCCAGACAAAATTTTACTCGAACCGGCACTGACTAAGGGCATAGACTGGTCGAAAAAAAAAAAAAAAAACATACCGTAAGTGAAACAGACTCCCCAGCTGCCGTACCAGCTGCCGTCGGGGCGCTGGATGGAGCGGATGAACCGGCGTCCGTTTGACAGGGATCTGAAACAATCATCAAAAGGTCGCGTCGTGCGAACTAAGGGCGATTTGAAAACGCCCAACCATACTTTGAGATGTATCCGCACGCATCTTGGAAAGACAAAAAAAATACACACACACACACACACACACACACACACACCCATACCGCCCCCTCACGGGGTCCCAGTTCATGGCATTTAGACTTTTTTTTTGTGTTTTCAACCGCGCTGAGACTGACGTATTTTCATTGGTCAGCCGGTTAGCGCGGTCGATGCTAACAAAAAAAAACACACACACACACCACACTCTTGGGCAGCTCTCTCTACATGCCTCTGGCGGTTGTTTTGCGGTCGGTCATCTGGGTCAACACTCATGCTCTCTGTTCCATGCTATATCTTCCCCCTCTGTCGTTGTTCCCAAAGAGGTCTCGCTTGATGTAACGTGCATTTTGCCTTAGTTTATTCATTTTTCTTCGTGGTTTTCTTGTTTTGGGCAGGGCACACAGCAATGACGACAACCAAACCTTGAAAAAACATGGTGAAAAAACAAAATGACGAACCTTTTGATCTCGGCCGCTCGATGGTCCGGGTAGGTCTTGGCGAAGGCCTTGAGGGCAGTCATGGAAGAACACGAGCACTCCACGTACGAGTAGTCGATCATGATGTCCCCGAAAGTCTCGGAAGGGTTCAAAGTCTCGTACCTTTTTATGATGATGCGGCAACGGTCAACGGTCTTAGTCGACGAGAAGAGGGTGTCCTTTCATCATTAATTTTTTTTCTTGCCCTGTTGTAGTTTTTTTTGTCTCGCTAACTACACGCTAGGACAAGCATCATACCTAAATACTGTTGCCTTGTTGCTTGATTTGTTGTCGGTGTAACCGACGGTGTAACCGAAAAGTCCCCACTCTCTGCATGATTGGGACGGTCGAAGAGATAAAAAAGAGCATAGCTGCCATTGGACTAGCCTTCTCACAGCGACAGAAAAAGCAGGCGACATCTGATAGAAAATCGTTCGCGAAAAAACCATCCGATGTTGCTCTGCCTGGCGTGAATACGAATACATGTTCACCCAAAACAGGCCACCCCCCTCCCGTTCCTGCTGCCCCCCCCCCTACCCAACTAGAGAGACCATCTACCACGGAGCCCCTCGAAATCCCGTGTTCTCGCACGCGGCCCAGCCTCCAACTCTCAGTTGTGCCTGATACTGATATCCCCGGAAAAGTAGAGTAAGTCTTGCGATCTCCCCCCCCCCCCAAGCAACACGTTCTCACCAGCGGAACCCCCTGGTGTTCTCGTACGTAGCCCAGCCGCCATCCCTGTTCTGGTAGGAGAGGAGGATGTTCACGGCGTCGTGCAGGCGTTCCGGCGAGATGGGGGGAAGGGACGAGTCTCCCCGGATGCAGGACAACGTCTGCAGCGCAAGAACTCCCTGAGCACAGAGGGGCGAGCGAACACATGCACATGAGCATGAATTCTGGTGCAGATCGTGCCAGCTGTGCATGTTCGATGAAAAAAGGGGTCACGATTTTGAGGAAAATGGAGGGGGGGGGGAGTCTCGCCGGATGCAAGGCAATGCGTGCAGGCCCATGGCGCAGAGAAACAAAGCCACTGTTGTTGGTGCCGTTCCTGCTGATGTTGTTGTTGCTGCCACTGCAGCTGCTTCACGAAATAAACTCCCCCTGCATCCCCATCCACGACCCCCTCTTCTTTTTGTAGTCACAACCGAACCTAAACACACAGGGTGGTGAAAACGACACATGACAATGAACAATATTCCCCTAGCGAAACGAAACTACGAGAACGACGAGGACCGCACTGGCACCCACGATGGCATCGGGGAGTCCGAAACCGGTGCTACGTAAAATGTACAGAGTGTATAGGATACGGCCGCACCGCCCATGTGCCATCACCGAGAGGTGAGGTGCTATGAATACCGAAGTCTTGGCAGAGCGATGCACTGAATGAGCGGATGAACGAATGAA